AACCTCTGTTATTCATGAGTCTAAATCCCCTGCTCCAGCCAAGAGTTGTCAGATATTTTACTCCTCAACCGCTGCTCTCTTTTCCTCTGCATTCATTACTGATGCTGCTTCAGTCCCTGAAACCTCTGCCTGTATTAGTACGCAGGAGCTGCTCAGTAGGCATGATGTGACCTGCTCTAAGATTTTAGACCTCGTGGCCCCGCTAAAAATCAGGCGACCAAAGCATGCACCACACCCCTGGCTGAACGTGACCACTCGAGCAGCCAAACGTCTATGCAGGAGAGCTGAACGCAAGTGGAAAAAGGACAAATTACACGTTTCTTTTATTATGTTAAAAACATGTTTGAAAGATTATCAGAGCATCGTTAAATCTGAAAAGAACAAATACTTCTCCCAAATCATTGCTTCAAACAGTCATAATCCCCGTGTTCTTTTTAATACCGTAAATTCCATTTTAAACGTGCCTCGGTCTGCCAGCATGGAGGCCTCTGTTGACATCTGCAACGACTTTACCAGATACTTTGCTGATAAGGTAGAGTTGATTAGGTCATCCATCCCACCGTCCACAACTGATCCTTCTGTCTTTGTCCCTTGCTCAGCTGTCTTCAAACAGTTTGAACCCATTTCACTCCCATTTCTGAACAAAGTCGTTGATCAGATGAAACCCTCTGGTTCCCCTGCTGACCCCATTCCTGCGTCGTTTTTCAAACAAGTTCTACCCACGATTGGACCCTCTGTTCTTACCATTATAAATAGTAGTATTGTGACAAGTGTGGTTCCCGATGTTTTCAAACATGCAGTAGTTCATCCGTTAATTAAGAAACCTGGACTTGACCCTTCGACTTGCTCAAATTTCAGACCAATCTCAAAACTTCCCTTCCTGTCCAAAATCCTGGAGAAAATAGTTTTCATTCAATTAAACAAGTTTTTGAATGAGAACAGAATCTTCGAAATTGTTCAATCTGGTTTTAAGCAACTCCACAGCACTGAAACAGCATTAGTAAGGGTTTGTAACGACATTATGATCTCAAACGATTCTGGTCAATTTGTGGTACTTGTGCTCCTGGACCTTACAGCTGCTTTTGATACTGTTGACCACAGTATCCTCATATCACGGCTGGAACAGTGGGTTGGGATCACAGGTGCTGCATTAGAATGGTTCCGCTCATACCTGAGTGGCAGGAGTTCCTGTGTCAAGGTTGGTAAAAATGTATCCGCCTCATTACCTCTTTCATGTGGGGGCCCACAGGGTTCGATTCTTGGACCCCTTCTGTTCTCACTTTATTTGCTCCCACTGGGGTCCATCCTGAGGAAACACGGTCTTTCATTCCATTGCTATGCTGATGACTGCCAGAGCTACCTGCCTGTGAAACCAGCAAGTGTTTGCTCCATTCACCCTCTGTTAAAATGTCTGGATGACATTAGGACCTGGATGGCTTCAAATTTCTTAAGTTTTACAAATGACAAGACTGAAGTCATTGTTTTTAGCCCTAGCTCAACTGCCACCACTGATCCTGTTAACCTGGACTCTCTTCAGCCATATCTGAAGCAGTCTGGTAAAAATCTCGGGATGGTTTTAGACTCTGACTTCAAGTTTGACAAACAAATCAACTCTGTTCTGCAGAAAAGCTTCTTCCAACTCAGACAGGTAGCTAAGCTCAAACCAGTGTTGTCCAGACCTGACCTTGAGAAACTAGTCCACGCCTTTGTCACGACCCGATTGGACTATTGCAACGCACTGTATGCTGGGATCAGCCAGGCCTCCATCTCACGTCTTCAGCTCGTCCAGAATGCTGCTGCTCGGCTTTTAACTGGAACTCGTAGGTCTGAACATATTACTCCAGTTCTGTCCTCCCTTCACTGGCTCCCTGTTCGTACGAGGATAGTTTTTAAAATTCTTCTGCTGACCTTCAAATGCCTAAATGGCCTCGCACCACTTTACCTCTCTCAGCTTCTGGAACCTTACGTTCCCTCTCGGGCCCTGAGATCATCCAATCAGCTGCTTTTGGCTGTTCCAAAAACAAGAAGCTCAGAGGAGATCGGGCTTTTTCAGTCATGGGCCCCAAACTCTGGAACAACCTGCCCCCCAACATCAGGCAGGCCACCTCCCTTCCTCACTTCAAATCTGTGCTTAAAAAACATCTGTTCTCTCAGGCATTTCATACAGTGTAAATTGATCTAGTGTTTTTTAATCTGTGACCCTATGTTTTAAATGCTTTTTATTAATTCTTCAGTTATTATCATTATTAGTGTATTGTGTATATGTATGTTTATATATTTTTCTCTTTAATTTACTCATTGATTGTTGTTGTTGTTGTTGTTGTTGTTGTTGTTGTTGTTGTTGTTGTTGTTGTTGTTGTTGTTGTTGTTAAGAACTTTGATAACAGGTTCTGTTTTAAATGTGCTCTATAAATGAAGTTGACTTGACTTGACTTGACTTACTTGTTGGCACAGTCTCCACTTTAACCAAATCTCAGTTTTTCCATCAATATTAACTCCCATGTTCTTCCTTCCCCTCAGGTAAAGAGTCTGGGTGTCATACTTGATAATACGCTTTCATTTCAATCTCAACTCTATCACCTGGTCTGCATACTTTCATTTACGTAACATCAACCGACTTCGTCCCTTTCTTACTCCTCATGCTGCTGCCATCCTTGTCCATAGCCTTATCACTTCCAGGATTGATTATTGCAACTCTCTTCTTTTTGGTCTCCCGAATAAGACTCTCCATAAACTCAAACTCCTCCAGAACTCTGCAGCTCAGGTCATAACTTGTACCCCATTCAGAGAACCCATCACCCCGGTTCTGCAGCAGCTTCACTGGTTGCCAATAGAAGCTAGAATAAATTTTAACTCACGTTCAGGTGCATCCATGACCTTGCCCCTCCTTACTTGTGTGATCTGCTTCACATCTCCACTGCTTCCCGTTCCCTCAGATCCTCATCTGCCACTCATCTTCTTGTTCCTTGTGCCCGTCTCGTCACCACGGGGAACAGAGTTTTCCGTCGCTGTGCTCCTCAGCTCTGGAACTCCCTCCCTCCTGTCTTCAGGAACACCCCTCTTCTAAATCACAACTGAAAACACACCTGTTCCAACAGGCATATTCTCTTTAACTTTGTTTTAAGTGTTGTTTTATCGTGACTTATTTTAATTATTTGTTGATTCTGTTTTTATTAATTGCTGATTTTGTTTTTGTAAGGTGACCTTGGGTTTTTGAAAGGCGTCCTGAAATAAAATTTATTATTATTATTATATATGTATTGTGTAACCATGTATGCATGTAATGTGAGTATGTGTTTGTATTGTATACATGCACATTTAAATATACGGTAAATGTCTGTATGTGTACTTATGTATGCATATGGACAGTCTGTCATCATCTATGAATGGGGGAGACGCATATAAGCCTCGGCTTCAGCCTATTCCCATTTTGGTAAATGGTTGATTTACCGTTTTATATTGTTTTCCTTTTTTGTAATGTTTTTAATTTACCAAAATAAAGTTGAGTTGAGTTGAAAAATCTTTCGAGTTGATTTTCTAGGCTATCCGTTTTGAATGTTAATATCCATTTGGTGAGTGGTTAATAAACAGAAATCTTATATCTTCCTTTCTTTACGTTTTTAAAGCTATCATGTCAAACAGATTGCTTACAAAAGCAGTAAAAGCTTAATTAAAATAAAGGTTTTTTTTCGGGTTCGGTCCTCTAATTACTGGTAACCCGTTCGGTGTGGGTGGGGCGCGGGGTGGGGGGACTACAGGCTCGGTCCGGGCCAGGTCGGATTTATTAGGCCCGAATGCAACTCTAGTCTGTGCTGACAGAGGAACTTAAAATGAACGGCCATGACTTTCATCCATTCATTCATTCATCCATTCATTCAACCTTTATTTCTACAGGTTAATCCCATTGACTCATTCAAGGACTCATTTACAACAGAGACCTGATTTCTTTAACAAAGAGTGATGACAGTGGACGACAACAATAGACAGTCACACAAGAGACATACAAAAGGTTAAACAAATCAAAACATAATAGCAACCAAAAGGACAGTCAAAGGAAAAGTAGTGGAAAGAAAAAAAAACATCTAGATTATAAGGTGGTGTAGAAAACTAAAAACAGGAACATGTCTGCTCTGGTTTTTGCAGGAACTTAACAAAAACCAGTGCAGACATATTCCTGTTTTTAGTTTTCTACACCACCTTATAATCTAGATGTTTTTTTTCTTTTGACTTGAACCTAGTCTTCTTCCTCCCTCTGCTGGATACATTGTACAATTACAGCTTGTTCCCAGAATTTTAGTGGTGAAAATTAGACGTGCTGATATTGGGATATAATGGGACAATTATAATTATATTAATTATTATTATACTGATAGCTCCCCAAATATCTATATTGGCCTAAAATATCAGCACTACCGATACATCTGTCGGGCTCAAGTACAAACCATATAATAATAATAATAATAATAATGTCATCACAATGTCAGCACTGTATGTTTCCATACAATGGCGAAATTAGTCTCTGCATTTAACCCATCCACCACCAGGTGGTGCAGTGGGCAGCTATTGAAAGCGCCCGGGAGGCATTTTGGGGATGAGGTGTGCTGCCCAAAGACACCACGTGATGTGCAGTGACTGGGGATCGAACCTGGGACTTTTGGGTCCCAAGCCGGCTGCCCTGCCTCTACACCATCTCGGCCCCCATATGACTTCATCGAATACGTTATTATTATTGTGTGAGACATTAGATGTCATAAATTACTTCAGACTTGTCGGTAAGTAAATGACAGTTTTCATTCCATTGTAGACGCAAGTTTTTGGCTTCCTGGTCTCTTTTGTTAAGAGAATAAGTTCAACAAGGAGTTATTGTGTGAAAAGTGATTTAAAGCCACAAAGTGGATTTTCAAAGGGAACTCCCTGTCTATGGAGTGGCACACTCCCACCAACCCAAAGCTCTGACATGTGGATTTTAGTTGACAAACTCTTGCTATTTCACCTTGCAGATATCAGAGAAGATCGACAAGCTGGAGAAAGCAGCTCTGGCTGAGAAGCCGTGGCAGCTGTCGGGCGAGGTGACGGCGCAGACCCGTCCAGAGAACAGCATGCTGGAGGAAGATGTGGAGTTTGAGCAGACTTCCAGGATGGGTGAGTGAACATATAGAGTGGTGGTTTCTGAATGTGAGAGACTATTTTGTCATTTACCGTTGCAGTAATTATTGCAATAACTTATTTAAAGGTTGTGTTTTTCAGCCCCCACCATCACTGAGGACACTACTCTACAGCTTGAAGACATCATCAAACAGAGAATCAAAGACCAGGTTTATCACACTATTCTTTATTTTTCTTTGAGAACTTTAAGATGGGGTCTTATTCCTGGATTATTAACTTTATTTTTTGTGCATATTTAAGGCATTTGATGACGTGGTCCGCAAAGAGAAGCCCAAAGAGGAGGTGTTTGAGTACCGAAAGAGACTAACTTTGGACCATGAGAAGAGCAAACAGAGTCTGGCAGAAATCTACGAGCAAGAATACATCAAACAGACTCAGGTTTGACTTGTGCTTTTCTTTAACTCTAATTCATTCAAACTGTTAGCATCATGTTTGTTTCTCTTAATGCAGCAAAAAACTGAGGAGGAGGAGAACCCAGCCCATGTTGAAATTCAGCAACTTCTGGATCAGCTCTTCCTGAAGTTGGACGCTCTGTCAAACTTCCACTTCACACCAAAACCAGTGAGTTGTTCTGCTTTAGTTACCTGAAACTAAAATATAAACCTAGAAATGCAAAATGTATTGTAATATAGATGTGAAAGTATTGAAACGTGTTTAATTAATCATACTCAAAAGCCATCAATATTAGGAAAAATATTCGGGTTAATCTGGGATCTGAGTTTCTGAAGACTTTTCACCATCGTTTCTCCACGTTTTTGTGTGTAAATGGTGAAGATGCATTAAAAAACAAATTGAATTTCATGTTTTTTGTTCTTGAACAGCCTGTTCCTGAGGTCAAAGTGATCTCTAACTTACCATCTATTACCATGGAGGAAGTGGCTCCAGTCAGCACAAGTGATGCTACGCTGCTCGCACCAGAAGAAATCAAGGTTTAGTTATTTTATTTACATTTATTTCAATATTTATTTGTAACCTGTCTAATAAGTTTCTTTTTATTAAAGGAGAAGAATAAAGCAGGAGATATTCTGGGTGATACTGAGAAGTCATCAACTGACAAGAAGCGTGAGAGACGTCTTAAAAAGAAAGTGAAGCATCTAAAGATCAAGGAGAAAGAGAAGAGACAAAAACTTAAAGAGGCCATCACATCTGACGAGAACAAAAAGCTTTCAAAGGCTGAAGTTACAAAAACCATGAAAAAACTTGCAAAAGGAGGCAAAGCCACGATACTCAAGGTTGGTCTTGTTTTTTAACTTCTGTATACCCCGTCCTGTTTTAGCCTTTCAGCTAACCTTTGCTACTTTTAGCATTTACCTAGTCTTTGCAATGTTTAGCTTTTATTAAGCTTTTTCCTGCATTTGTTGTTTTGCTACTTTTGACTAGCACTTTGCTCTTAGGTTTTAATCGGAGTCAGTTTTTTATCTAATATTTTTCCATTTTCCATTAAAAGTCCATTTCAACTTGTTCATTCAGATTCAGAGCTCGGCGTTGTCACAGAAAACGTTTTGTTTCTTTGACTTTGTTCAAATCACTTAAAGTCTGGATGAACCTGCAGACACTTTTGTCGTTGTTTTTAAGTCGAACGCTGTGACCAAATTAGGGCTGCAGCTAACGATTATTTCAATAATCAATTAAACTATCCACTTTTTCTCCATTATTTGGTTAATCACCCCCCCCCCCCAAAAAAAAACAAAAAAACAACAACAAACAAACAAACAAAAAAAGAACATTTAATTTACACCTCTTTTTTCCACAGTTCCACAAAGTTTTTCCAAGTCTCCAGTGTCTCTGTGGAAGCAAAACTCCAACGCCAGTCTGGCCTTGATGTTGCACTTCCACAGAGACACGGCGTCAAGTTGAGGTCCAGCCTGCAGTCTGTCTCTGCGAGATAAATACATTGCCATTTTGGCTTCGGCAATTAAAAAGTTTAAAATTCTGGATTTGCATTTAGTGGCTTTGCTGTAATATACACAATTAATAAAAACAGATTTGGTAAAAACGGTATCAAAAAGCTAAAGATCCTCGTCATTAAGTTAAAAAGAGCAGTCAGTCGTACACAATCCATAAAAACATGAAAAACGCTCTCGGACAAACTGCAAAAAGGACACTCGTTTAAAACCTCAGGTCTGATGATCGATAGAAAAGAGTTTGTTGCAATGGCGCTGTATTATGAAATTAACAGGGGTTGTGAACGATCGGCACCAGATATTCAGACAAG